CTTTGCACTAGCTTACTCGCACTAGTGGGACACAACTATACTTGCACGCAACGCCATTGACCAAGAAACGCCTTGGTTGCGGTTGCTGTTAGTGGGTGGGTACGATCTCCTGGGCGGAACCAGGAGTCAGGGCTGTGACTCGTTGATCGCAAAGCCCAGAAGAAAGAGACCGGGAGTGGGACTACTGCTGTAGAACTTTCATGTACAGTGAATATACAGGTAGCTGTTCGACATTTTAATCGGCGTCTTTGAGGTCCCTGAGCTCATATGTTATATAGCCCTCCGAGGGCGAGAAGGCCCTCTGAGAAATAGGAGCCTTCGCCGGTGTTCGAATGTTCACGTGATATTCGAGCTGCGGGGGCGGCTGATGCAATACACTTATTGCCACATTACCCAAGCTTCAAGGAGAATGCAAGGAATTATGTTTTACGCGCCGCACGTGCTTGCGTCTGCAGCAGTAACTGTTCTAAAGCAAAGGCCTAAAGCAAATGGCATCTTGCACTCGTGTCTCTCAAAGCTTTATTTTATTTTGGTTATTTACTTCGAACCTTTTATACGGGGAAGGCGTGCGCGTGCGGCGCGTGGAACACCCTTCACTGCATTCTTCTTGATGCTTTGGTAATTTAGCAATAGGTCTATTGCCCTGTGTTCTTTCAACAAGGTGCAGATGATGCAAACCCTAGCCGCTCTTTGCCATGCTCCGGTGTGTGATGCAAGGTGTCGACGCTCTTGCCGCTCGAACTGAAACAAACGAACAAACCAACACACACGCACACAAACGCGCGCGCACACACACACACACACACAAACACACACACACACACACGCACACACACACACAACACACACACACACACACACACACACACACACACACACACACACACACACACACACACACACACACACACACACACGCGCGCGCGCGCGCCGGTGTTTTTTCTTGCGAGGGCTGGCGGTCCCAGACCGTCTAGTGGCTTCCGTAAGTCTTTCTTTTTGTGTTTAGAGCCCTCAGCGAAGGTCCCCACCCGCCTGATGTCTCAGGGGTTCTGCGCACCGGGTAGAATATCGCGGGCAGTCTCCCCTTCAGCGCTCCCAGAAACACAACACTGTGTAATTTCAAGGACACAAGCGAGCGTCTTCTTTCAGTCTCTCCTCCGCAAAACTTGATGACGTACCTGGGAAGTCGCAGGTACGTCATCATGTTTTATTTATTTATTTATTTATTTATTGATACTGTCAGCCCTAGACAGGGCTTTTACAGGAGTGGGTAATACAATGCAGTAAATCACATACATGCAAACAACAATGCACAATAAGAAAAAAAAAAAAAGAGAGAACGGCGGCAGAGAATACTAATACCTGCTGCGACAAAAAGCACGAAAAGCGAAAAAAAAAAAGATGCTGTTATTATATGACTTGCTGACTAGACAGGCAATGATACAGCATTCGAAGTGATGACGTACCTGCGACCCCCCCCCCCCCCCTCCCCTCCCCAAGTGACGATATTTAAATGCGGCTCATAGATTGGACCAGAGCACTTTTGATCTCGTGATAATCAATAGCTCGACAAGCATTTTGGTAGCGGCCCGTGTCCAATCGCTGCAATGACGACAATAGCGGAACCATAATAACGCCTCAAACTCAGCGCGTGTTCTGTGCTTTGCCAACCCCAGCGCGCGGCTATGATTAACTTTGGTGGAATATAATCGGCTCCAGATCACGTGGCCGGTTGTTCTGGCTGCGAGTTGAGGGAGTAAATGCTGCTCGTTTTTCTTTAATTCTTTCTGCGACTTCTATTGCGTGTGCAGACATGTATAAGTTACTAAAAAAAAGTAATTAAGTAAAGTTACTGAGTATTGGCCTCGAAAGTAATTTGAGTAGAGTAGAAGTTGCTCAAATGGAAAGTAATTGAGTGAATTACTAACTACCCTAACAAAGTAGCAAATTACTTTTGAAGTTAATTTTATATTTTTTTAAGTAACAAGAAAGTACATACATATTTTTTGTTCCGTTAGCGAAATTCTGCTAGCCAAATATAAAGCGGCTTGTGTTTTCGCATAAATGCTTTAATAGATGATTCTGCTTCTGCGTGACTAATTGTTTTGTACTTTTTTGTTTTCTGGTCAATGATGCACTGTGGATTTATCCTTTATACTTTGAGGTTTAGCACTGCTTGCGCTTCATTTTGGCACAGTGTTTGCTTGTTTACAGTGTTGCATCTAAAAAGTACTTGAAGTAAAGTACAAAGTCAATTAAAGGTTATATACTTCAAGAATAGTAAGTACACCGGGTGCAATGTACGTGAAGTAAAGTACTATAGATACAACATACTTTTAAAGTACGAATACTTTTTGACACAATCGTTCATGATGCCCTTCATACCCTTTTTTTAAACATTATTTTAACTGGTATGCATTGCTCCAGGGGTAATTGGAGGAGCTTCAGTTTTTTTTTTTTTTTTTTTGGAAATGGCGGCAAATATTGGATAAAGTAAAGTCGCCACAGAGTAGTTGTTATAGTCGCGCTGACGAACTATTTAACACGATACACGTATAAGCCACTTATTTGTATCGGTCTTATAGCCACCATTACTTCACTCAGAGAAATGACCAGGTGACGTCTTGAAAGCCGTCATCTGGAGATTCTTCAGAAATTAGCAGAAAAATACCTTAGTAAAGTACAAATACATGCTTAGAGAATGTACTTCAAGTAAAGTGCAAGTTTTCTCATCCTACTTGAAATTGTACTTTCAGTACCATGTACTTTTAGTACTTTCCAACACAACTTTTTTTTTCTTTTTTTTGTAAAAGCGGCGGGGGATTTATTGAGATTTCTCGAGCGATCTTCGAATCTTGGAAGACCTGCATATTCTGAGTTTTGGAAGGAAAGGCAACGCAAAGAAGTTACCTTTACGTTGCCCTGTAGCACGCGATCCCTCAAGTACAGCACAAACTACGGGAACACCAAGGCTTCACAGGGGTGCTGCATTTTGTTGACTCCTTAAAGTTAGGCTGCAGTGTGTACACCTCCTGTAAAGGGCGAGAGTTCCTATGTTGGGGAGAAGCGGGGACGAACCCTTTTTTTAAATACGTCGTCTTCTTGAGCATCGGTACTCAAAAAAATGCCAGTCTTGGGCGCTAATCTCTCATATACTGGGCCTCCCTTGCGACGTGTCTGTCCGCTCCCCGCGCCTCGTAGCAGGGTTGTTCCAGTGGAGGCCTCGTGAAAATTTCAGAGGGTTTTGAACCATCCAAACCACCCCCCCCCCCTCCCCTTGCCTACGCCACATGCTTCCCCTCTTTGCAAATATCAGCTGTTCTTCCAACATCTTATTTATTTTTGTGCAGGAATGTTTGTTGACCAGCAAATCTACCACTAAAATTCAAAAGTAATTTGTAATTCGAGTAGAAGGTATTAAAAAAAAAGTAATGAAACTAATAATTACCGAAATAAAAATGTAATTGAAAGTTACTAAAACTACACAAGAAAGTAGTTACACTACAGTAACTTGAGTAGAGTAACTAAACTACGTATAAGTCTGACGTGTGGTGAAAAGCGAATGCGTGTTTCATAGGTCATTAACGTCAGAGATTCGCGCAATGAACAGCAATCGTTGCATCGCCCCTTTAAAAGTTGAGCTTTTCCCTTATTCTCCATATAAGAAACAAAGTTCTGATTTCATTGAACACGATTCTTCGTATTTGTATTGAACTTCGACATTTTTACACCATCAAAAACGTTGTGGACTGGTAGTTGTCATTTGACTAACTACAGTGAGACAAAACTTCCTCTCTCGTTTTCATTTCGTGTACACGCTTGTCGTGGACTTCGATTTCATAGACAAAATGTGGACTCCCTTCTTTCTTGAGATTCAACTTATTAAACCTTTTTGCCCACCACCAATTGTTCGGCAACCCATCGTATAGTCATTCGACCACCTGTGCAGTATAGAGTATCCGTCACTTGAACTAGTTCAACCGGATGAACTCTTCCATCAAATGCGGCGATGTTGTATAATATTAAAAAAAAGCCCATAAAAAAAAAAAAAGGTCTTATCCGTAATATCCTCAGAGATGCTCAATTCCCGAAAGATAGCCCACGTTTATTTTTAGCTTAATTTGCATTTTTTTATCTACAAACGAGAGCTTGTTTTTAATAATCGTAATGTTTGGATGAATGGTGGCCTCGGCGTAAATGCAGCTAGATAGATAGCTATGGCGGGAGATGAGCAAACATTGCTGACTGAAAAGCACAGTAATCTTTGCTTCATTGCCTCTAGTCGCAATAGCAACTTAGGCAGGGATACATGAATAGCATTTTTTCAAGTTTTCTTGATTGCACATCAAAAGTTAGCATACTCCTTATTTTCAACCGATTTGCTCTTGATTTTAGGTGAGCTATCTCTCGAGATTTTACGTTAATATTGTTTTCGTCTTAAAGGATTTTTTTAATGAATGTTGTATATAGTTAATTTTTGGGACAATGGCTGACAACGCGTTTAAACTCAAGCATGCCCTACGGTTACAACAGATGCTTAATATGAAACAAAATCAAAGAAGCTATTATATTCCTAACGAGCGTGTTGGTAAGATGTACTAGATAACAGAAAGTATAAAACAGAGAGAGGACGAAACACAGACGAGTACATTCTCGTCTGTGTTTCGTCCTCTCTGTGTTTTATACTTTCTGTTATCTAGTCATAGAAGCTTACGACTGTTTTTGCAACTCCTGTGTGGAAGATTAAACCATCCAGTGAACTCAAGACACAAGAATAACGAAGGAATTGGGTTTAGGGAAGTACGCAAAAATTCCTCCCGAGTGTCTAAACCTGTCTTATTTTTCTTTCTATCTGCGCGAAGAGGTTTGTGAGGCGAGAACCAAGTTCCGTGAAACGGTACACACGACTGATATACGGTTCTTTCGATTCCGGCACCATGTTGACACCACGAGCTACCCCGTAGTGAGAACACGAGGCATCGTGTTCACGACCGGTGCTCGCTCATTTCTACTTCGGGCCAGCCTCGACACCGGGGCCCCGATTCTGGGACCCGCGTCGTGGTCGCGAGAGGCAGGCGAGTCTCTCCTGAACGAGGAAGGGTTCTGGCGCCAGCACGCATGCGTTGAAGAGGCGGGGAGCGAGGAGACTCTCCGCTCCGATTGTTCAATACGCGTTTTTTCCTGGGAGCTGCTTTCTGATTGGGCCTCTCCCGCGGAGTGCGTGGAGCCCTCGAATGCGATAAACACCGGGCCCGAGTACACGCAGTTGCTTCGGCGGGTTCTCGCGGCTGGTCACGCTGACTTTCGGGTCGAGGGGCCCTGGCAGCTGCTCCGTGTCAGACGTTCGCCAACTCCGGGCTCCGGCCCCCGACGCTGGATGCCGGTGCCCCTTGACGCGAGCGCGGACCGCGTCTTCTTGTCACCGTAGTCGTCCACTTGCCCGAACACATACCGCACGCAGTCGTCCCTCCGTGGACTCAGCGGCCGGTCGACAGAGGGAGCCACGTTCCCCGGAAGAATTTCTCTCTTTGGTAAGTGGGCCAGCGTGTCAAAACTTGTCGGAGTCTGCTTTGTTCCGAGCGCTTGACAATGCTTTGGCGATGTTCAATTTATATACTTTCTTTTTTATTTCTATTTTCGCGTTGTTAACACGCTCTCTTGTCCCAAATTCAGGTGTGCGCTTTACAGTTTGTGTTGGCTTTCGCGGAATAAGTGGATGCTGGCTCCAACAAAATTACCCGAACAATTCGCAACAAAAAGCTTCGAGGCGCAGAAATGTTCACCGAGGGTGAGGAATCCTCCATCTCGAAATGAGCATTTCTGCGCTTCGTTTCGGCTATGGGCGTGATAGAGATAGAACTTTTGTTATAAATATATACATATATTTAAAAAAAAAAAGAAGATGGGGACTTGTAGTCTCTTTGTTGGCAACGAGCATGCGCACTTGCTGCACTTCCGTTCCGTGTAAAACAGCAGTTCTCCTGCTCAGTGCCAACAAACTGGCGCAGCTTAATTTTCGTGACCTCATGTAACCCTGAGGCCGAGGTTTAATGCATGATATGCAATTTATAGAGATGAGGGAATAGTCATTCGAACCAAATAGTGCTGCGTCATTCATAGCCTTCACAGTGCACGAGAAACTTTCGACAACCGGTTCTTTTAACTGTGTTCAAGCTGGAGATAGCAGACGCTATTTCATTTGGTCTACGATTCACACACCGCTATAGATTTACCTTCCTGGCGTAAAGAAAAAAAAAAGAAAAAAAAGCGTGTAAATATGAACAGAGTTGTCCTGCGCCTATGTCGGATCTGTAGTAAGCTAATAGCGACGAAATGATTCGGTGGCGCCCTCTCATGGTTTCCGTTCGTGAGGTCACTACCAGAATTTTCCCCGCCGTGACGTAGTGAATTGTAATCTTTGACTACTTATATCGTCAGTTGCGAACTTCAGGTTCAATGGTATATGTGTAAGATGAAGATCGGTGAAAGCTCGGAGTCGTCGTGTTCTGAAACCAACATCTTCACAGTTGACACCTTGACATTGCGCCGGATTCCGTCGATGAAAGAAACATTAATCCGGGTAAAAGCGTCAAAGTGAGCGTTTGGCCAATCGCGAATTGCGACCACAGCAACGCTTTTGGTCGCGCAAGTCGCTGATAGTGACGGACAGCCGAAGGAACGCAGTGCGTTGCGAGTCCCTTGCTATGCAGCCAATGGAATTCTGCGTATGAGCCGATAAAACAGTCCAGTCCTTTATTTTTACCGCTTCCTTTGTGAATGACCCAGAGAAATCGAGAGGGGGGGAAAAAAACGAGGGGGAAGGGGGATTCATTCGAAGGACCCTATAGGCTTTAGCCGAACTCCCCCCCTCCCCCGGCCATGTCACGCCTTTGTAAGAACGCAACACACGACAGAAGTTATGAAGAACCCAAGATCAGTCTGTGTCTGTTTAGCGCGTCACCCGAAAAGGACAGTTGAGGTGCTCTGTGAAGCGAAGAACGCCAACGCCAGTGGCGACGACTGCCGAGAATCTGCACGTTCCTCCTCCATAGTCGTCGGCAGCTCACGTGCGCGGAGCGTGTTCGGAATGACAGAACAGAGCTCAATAAGAAACCCTGGGCAACAGCAACGCTGTGCCGGGAGAATCTCACTATTTATTGCGTTTTTTTTCTTTTTTTTTCTTTGGGTTATTTTGTTTGCATCGACTGTACACGAAAAACAAAAAACGAGGTTATCGTCGAGAAAACAAATAGTGATATTGACTGCGTTTTGTGTTTTAATGAGTACATGTACCGTTGCTAACGTAAGTCGCGATACAACGTACATAGTTAAATGTATGGACGACTCCACGTATATACTACTTGGAACATCGTACGAGGCTTTTATACCTTACATTCGCTAAGATGTAATCTACAGAGCGTCACAAGCTAGGTTTAGGACCATACAAGTCTATTCAGGAGACGCAACATTAAGTCTCACTTTCTAAACAAATACCCATATACATTGTCCATTAAAAATAAAATAAGAAAAAAGGTATATCTGATTTGAATCTGTACTATTCGAACCGGCAACGGTCCCCGAGCCAAGCGTCGGTCCTCTACGGTTTTATTTGTAAGCCCTTGAACTTCCCTCGACGTCCCATCGCTTTGTTTGTACGCAGGGATAAACAATATTGGAATAAATGTGCATGTGATCACTGACAGCCCAATGAAACGCAGGGCGTAGCGCGTCCCGTGCATCTCATGATCGCTCCAGGACCAATCAGATTGCGGCATCAGCCGATAAGAGCGCCGAAGGACCAATCACGAAACGACAAGCCAGAAGATGTCGAGCCATACCCTGCGTCTCTTGACTGGCAGTGACCAAACTGAGATATTAACCGAGGCTTGTGTTTATGGTTTGACAGAACGGGAAGGAATATTTTCCGAAAACAGGCCGAGCTATTTCGACTCGATATGTAACGACTCGAAATGTAAGCACAAAATATTAATAAAATATTCTAGAAAATAAACGCGGACCTTACGCGAAGGTACAGTCGTTATGCGCCGAGAACCCCAGGGAGAGGAGAAAAGGAGAGGGACATCAGAACCCCGAGTTCTGGTTCGAATGATTAGTGGGTAGACCTGAAGCAGGCAGCTTTTGTCTCCACTGCACTCGTCGAAGGCGTTCGAATCCGAAAGCCAAACGCTGGACGCCGGCGCTCCAAGATCTAGCGCGTTCAATAAGTTCAGCTGGTGGAGACAAAGGAAGCTAGCTCCCTTTAGGTCTATCGACTAATCATTCCAATCAGAGCTCGGCGTTCTGACGTACCCTCTCGTGTCCTCCTCTTCCTCAGTTTTCCGGCGCATAGCCTACTGTTCAAACACCGCCCCGTTTGATCAACATATACTTAGAACATCTGTTTAACTATATATTTGATATATATTTGAACATCCGTTTAAGAGAGCACCAAAGTTCATTAAAAGGTTCTGCTTACTCTCACCTTGGAATGCACTGTCGTGTTTGTGGGCGTAAGCCAAGATTCAGTGACACAGAGGTAATTTTAAAGCACAAAAATCGGCTGTCTAGAGAGATAGCGGAGGCGTACAAAATAAGAAAAAGATGGGAGCCTCTTGCGTCAGCAAAACGTCGTTGACACTGCTACACGGTGATGTGACTTCTTTTTTTTTGGATTTGGGCTAACTTGTTTAACCCTTGTCATTACGCTTTTAATCATAGTCATGTAATGCGCTTACGCGGGATCGCAGTGCCATTTAATGGAGGGTCGTTTTCGTATGTTTTTTTTTTTTTTTTTTAAATAAAATCCGTCAGTTGAGAGTCGGCGCTCGTCCCGTGTGTTTCTTCTACGTCCTCGTCTTTTCGCACTGTTTCCACTATGAATTCCCACCATGTTATTCAACTATCCGTTATTTTAAGTACATTTATTTCGCGATACTGGCCAACCCTGAAAGTCAGGATAGTTTGTACTGCATGAAATCCATTAAAATAGCAAGCAACAAATGAGAACGATGAAAAAAAAAAAAAACATGCAGAAGACAAACAAGCGCTTACTGGCAAATGACACTATAAATCAACGTGAAATAAAAATAAATAAATAAATAAATAAAATGATTTTGCCCAAGGATACTCATGAGCGATACATTTCCAATAACCTCATCTCTTCAAAATGGGCTGAAAGGGGGGCACAATTCACTTCTAGAGCCTTTAAAAGACAAAAGATACTAAACAATCATTCGTCTTGCGCCCTTGACCTACACACAGTTCGACAATAAAAGTCGTAAGGCAGCGTCTTTTAAGCCAATAGAAGGCTGGCTACCTCATTCATCTCCGAGAAGTTTCATGTTTTACTTTGTGACCTTGAAGGCCAAACCTCTTCCCAAGATATTTTGACTTACTCGGCGCGATAGCGTTGCGAAATGAAATGTTCTGCAGGGCGGTCAGTTAGCACCATAGAGTTATTACAATAAACGCTAGAGGCTCAGCTGGCGCTAGTGTCTACGGGACTTCCGGTTGCAAATTGAAGCAGACAGCATGCAGTCTACATTTCCAGTCTTCCTGTGTATTCCTATGGGAAAACGCGCCTGAATTTTGTCTCGTCGCCGGAAAATGACATGAATAACTTTTGTTATTTCGGTTGTACCGGGTAGTATGTACTATCGGGGAAAAATGAAATGCGAACAGAGGAGCCCGTGGCTCGCGGTACAGGCTGCGCCGCCTGGAAGTGAACCTAGGGGCGAGGGTGCGCGGCCTACTTCGATGTGTTCACGCCCCTCGATTGGTGCTCCCCCAGCTTCGGCAGTGCGCCTCTCAGTGCGCTGAAAGCTGTCACCGCTATCTTCGCCTGCTTGGCGAGTGCGGCGAGCTTCTTTGCACAGCACGCGCTGAGCCAGCAAAGATAGCGGTGATAGCTTTCAGCGCACTAAGAGGCGCACTGCCGAAGCTGGAGGAGCGCCAATCGAGGGGCGTGAACACATCGGAGTAGGCCACGCACCCTCGCCCCTAGGCTCACTTCCAGGCGGCGCAGCCAGTACCGCGAGCCACGCGCTCCTCTGTTCGCATTTCATTTTTCCCCGATAGTACCTTCATAAATATTGTGAAAGTGTAATTGCTTTAGTTACAGTATTTTTCCTTTACCACTGAACGATGCTAAACTTCGCTATATTTCAGGCCCAAACCACTGTTCCATGGCAGGTATGTAGAAACGAGCGACGACTCTAAGCAAAATAACGATCGAAAGGAATGTAGAGTGTGTTCAAAGTTCGCCAGCATTCCGTTGGTGCTTATATATTGCTAATATGCCTGTCCTTTCAGTATATGAAAATGACCCCGTCGTGCATCTTTACGAGTGGTTAAAAAAAAACGTTCAAAACGTAAAGAATAAAGTACGTGGGCTACGAAAGGAGTGTTTTCTTATTATTTCCTATGTTGGGCAGTTTTTATCGCGCACCTGTCCTCTGGCTTCCCCTGAGCAGAAACAATAAACGGTACTTATTTATTGCAAATCGGACTATATTACGCGACTTTCAATTTA